AACATTCAGTTTCAATAGCCTGAACTTCTACAGCAATATGTTGACGATCCCGGATCGTGGGTTCCCTTTCAAATTAACATAGGGGTCAAACCGTCGCAACAGAACTTCGGAGTCTACTCCAATATCGCCAGATTGGGTTGAGATCTCTATACAAGAACTGCGACAGCCGAAAAAAAAAACAGTAGCAGCAGCAAGGTCAGTAACAGTACTCAGGTGAGGGAAGTAAGTCTGCTCATAGTGGTAGTCTCAGGCTGATAGCGGCAACACCTGCAGCAAATGACAACCATCGGAAACCGATTGAGAACGGCCCGTGCTACTGGTAATTGCAATGGCAATGATGCACTTCACCGGCGACTTGTCTAGCCATGATATTGCAACACGAGGAAAGAGCCGGAGATCCGGACAGTCCGAACCTTAAGCCACGGGCTCAGCCAGAGTAGCAGCCGAGTAGCAGTGACAGCCCATGAGAAAAGCTCTGTACCATGGTACGAACCTAGCAGAACAGTTTTCCAGGTCGGAAGCATCATAGGCCGCACTGCTGGGCATTCCTGGCTGTTTCGGAATCTGGTCCCTGGGAGAATACAGGCACCTTCTCTGAAAAGCCGCCGTCCAAGTCCAGACGGGGTAGGCAGGAGACTGCAATAGAAGGGTGCCATCACAGTCGCCACAAGAATCATCACACTCTGAGCAACTCATGTTTGAACCTCACCACCGACAGCTTAACTTGCAGGTAACCGACCTAGCCATGATATTAGTGAGTTGCCTTAAGTTGCAGTCAGGCTAGACAACCATGTCCCCAACACCAAGGAGAAATCCTTGACACATAAAGCTATAGATTCAGGAGATAGGTTGGGGTGGCAAGTCGATTGAAGCAGTCTGTAGTCTACTCCGGCGCATTTTCATGGAACCCCCCGCCGTCAGCTCGCTCCTGTTGAAGCCGTCCTCTGCGTCCACTGGTCCGTGGCCGGAGTGCCGAGGTCCACCAGCAGCCTCTCGAAAGACAGCAAACGAACACGTTGATGGTTCAAGCTTAAAAATGTTCTTGTGTCGCGGATGGTCCATAGCCGAATGCGGCTTTTGCACGAGAGCACTTCATGAATGCAGCTACTGGAAACCGTCGCTACAGCTGCTGCTGCTGCTGCTGCTGCTGCTGCTGCTGCTGCTGCTGCTGCTGCAACCCCGAGCCCCTCCAACTGCCGCGTCTACTCCCACTAAATTCTGCTGCTACCAATAACAAAGCCAACAGAAGCTATCAGATCGCTTCCAATAATTTCGTTAATCGAGATCACACACCGATAAGAAGACCAGAGGCCCACAAAGCCCGTCAGCCAAATCTGTTTTTGCGAGAGACCTCCCGGGCAATGAAGTGGATGTAGACCTGTCACGGAGATCAAGCTGCAGATCGTACTCCATGGAAGGAAAGGGACCAACATGAAATGGTCATCGTTATCAGCGTCATGATCATGATGATGAACCTCATCATCGTCATCATCATCATCATCAGTATGTATGCAGGAATCAGCAGCAGCATCGCCATCACCAGCACTGTCACTATCACCGTCAGTCGCCCAACACATGACTGTCTTGACGGCCACATGGGCCTTCACCGCCTGATGACACTAGGTCAGTAGCGGCGGGTGTACGTCAGCAGGAACTCGGGATAGACCTGGTCCTAAGCCAAAGCACCAACGGACCAAAGTTATAAGAATGCAGCAGAGTCTTAATCTTGAGTATCTAGCTCTGATACTGCACTGTCACAGGCGCGAGGCCATGGGCGCGCAGCTCGCGAGTGTAACGGGGCAAACTAGACAGAAGAACGGCTTTCCGGCTGAGTTGGTTCTGCTTCCTTTGGCGAAACTCGGAACGCGGTCTTGGTAGCCCTTTCGGTTCCTAAACTACGGACAGGAGAGCAGAGGAAGACAGGGGGTAGGGTTTTTTTGGCACTGGACTTTCCTCATGATCTGGAAGCTTGCAACTTCGGCTGGGTTTCAACATTCAGGGCTTAGTTCTTGTTTTGGGGGCTTGAGGGTGCAGGGTGCTCTCACTGCCAACCGACGGACCGAGTGCACCAAATCCACCGCGGAAACCCAAAATCTTCTTGCTCCACAGGCTTATGAAGGAAACCGCTATAGTCCCAGTGCCGACGGACAGTTTTGGGCCTCTCAAGCCTGAACCCCGAATCCCACAACACAATCGAGAACCTCTTCGCGGCCAAAGCACTGTGTCGTAGACGACGATTTCGCGGAATGGTTTCTTCAACTCGGCGACCCTGCCAGAGCCAAGGAAGCCGCTGATCCCTTCAGCATGATGACACCATATTACCTCTCAAGCCAATGAGCCCCAGACTTGACATGCCCCCTAGCCTGATCACAGCCACGACTATCAGCACTGCCCGAACATCGCCCTCGAGTCTAACGACTCAAGGGACCTCACAGTGGAAAACAGAGACCAGGAAGGCTCTGATCAACATGCGTGGTCTTTGATGCTTAAGGTCAAAGGTTTAAGCCCTTTGAAGTTCTAAACAAAAAGATCCCCCCCAACTTTCGGTTCGGGCTCCCTTTCCTGAGGGACCTCGAAAGACGGACACGCTTATGAAGTACTATAGAGCCTGAATAGTTAGAACAGGGTCTTGGAGTATATCATGGTGCCAATACAATAAGGAACCCTAAGGGCTTCTACATTAGGGTGGTTCTGAAGTTAGGACACCCAGTCAAATGTTGGTCCATTTCAGCTGGCGCGCTGTCTTGTCAAGACATGGTTAGAGAACCTAGTTTAACGTCGTTGTGTACACCACGGACCAACACCCTATCAACAACGAACAATGCAACAATGATCGATAGCTCTAAGACATTCACAGGCCCATCCATGAGAGCTCTGCAAAAGAACAAACTAGGCGCAAAGGCGGGGAGGAGAGTATGCAGGTTGGGGCTTACGGGTTTAGGGATTGGGCTTAGGGTTTAGGAGGGTGAAGTCAGCAATTCTCTGGCCCAAAACAGACAAAAGGAGTGGTCTATGTAAATTGCAAACAGCGAAATAAATTAAAAGCAATCAAAGAAGCTCGAATGAGCCATGCCGGCCAGGCACCTATCTCCCAAGACGGAGTGATGCCGTCCGCCGAGGATGTCCTGCTTCGTGATGCCATGGCATAATAACGCCCGTAGTTTAGCTGTATGAGAGTTTAGGGTTTAGGGATGCTTAGGTTATAGGGCTTTGTGAAAGAATGCCAGATTCTGCACATGAGCATGCAGTGAAGTCTTTTTTGAAAGAGCAACATTACTTAGCAGGGAATTCTGACTTGGAACACCTCCTGAAAAAGTAGGTACTGGCCGCCGAGCAAAGGGCTCAACCCTAACACGCCAAACGCACAATGTTACCAGATTTCTACTGCAGAAGCTTTATAAACCCTTGCCCGACGCTCCACAGCAACCCAAACCCCAAACTAATGCCAGGCCCTGAATTCATGCTCTGAAAGCCGAAACCTGAAACTCCTGTGGAACTCCATACACTACAGTCCTAAGCCCTAAACAACTGTGCAAGGCTGTCACAGGTCGAACTCTTGTTAAGCCAAGTACCATGGTGTAGACCTTTGTTGGTTCTGAAGGTCTTCTCGCTATGTGCCTGGTCTTGAGCTCTGTACTTGTAGGTTGGGTGCTATTGGGGCTTTACCGGTTCAGGGTGTAGGGTTCTACAGCGGGAGTTGGGGGTTGAGGGCTTAGAGTGTAAGGAGCAATTTGCCAGTGCTCATGGGAACTCCGACTTGCATCGAAACAAGGCATAGGCCCCTAAACAAGAACCCCTGAACCCTAACGCACACACACACACAAGAGTCCCTCAAAACAGTCTAGAGGCTAGGGTTCGTGAGACGGGGCCTCGGGTTCAGGTAACCAAAACCCGGGACCCAGCCTAGTCACTAGTACTCCAACCCCAAACCCTGGACCATAAACCCTGCGCCAAACCCTGAATTGAATGCTAAATACTGAACTTGCAGTCCTAAAGCACATAAACCCTAAACCCGAATTTAAGGTCAACTCCTCTCGCAGGCGCTCTGCATCGATCTGGTTCGTAGTACAGACGCGCGGACTTCCCGCAACGACTCGGCAAAGCAGGACCTGAGAGATTCGGAAAATAAGGGGCTGAAAAACCCGAAGAATGAGAGTAGTAAAGGCAATACCATTCTAGTAATATTGGTAATGATAATAGTAGAAATAGTTAACAGTAGTAGTCGTGCTAGTCATAGTCGTCGTCGTCGTCGTAGTCGT